TCTCTCTCTCTCTCTCTCTCTCTCTCTCTCTCTATATATATATATATATATATATATATATATATATATTTTTTTTTTTCGTTTCTTTGCTCTCGGTCAGCTGTAGATGATATTAATCAGGTAAGGTCAATGGTTCCCCTGGTTTGTTTTTCATTGATTCTTTTTGTAATAGACTGCTGCAAACTCTCCATGGAAACCCCAACAAGTAGTAGAAGAAGAAAAACCAAATTGATGGTGTCCAGAACTTTTCCTTTTGATGCTTTAAGAGCAAGAGCTTCACCCCAAACTGGTAAACCCTTCTCTTCTCTCTTGCTAAAACAACACAAACTCACTGTCTCTGATTCTCACTCTAACCCAACACCTGAAAAGGCCCCCATTTAGAATCTATCGTCGGCCAGTACTGCAAATCAAGGACTAAGCTCGATGGGTTATTGGGGTTTTTCGAAAGTATGGTTTATTGAAGTCCCGTACCTTCCATTTCAACATTTAATCTTGTTTTAGCCTCCATTGCAAGAATTAAGCAGCACTCAATTGCTCTTTCTCTGAACATTCTGGGTTAATTACACCTGATTTTTATACTCCGAACATTCTAGTTAATTGTTATAGCAATATCAGGGAGGTGTGGTTATGGATTTGCAATATTGGCTGAGATTTTGAAGAGGGGTTACACTCTAAATCGAGTAACCTTCGCTGCCATTCTTAATGGTCTTTGTGTAGAGGAAAGAGTAAGTAATCAAGCTCTATCTGAATTATATTTGCTTTTAAATGCGTGTTTACCATGTATTAGCAGCTATTAGAAACGTTAGATCTCTTAACATTTCCATTTTGCAAAAACGAGACCTTGATTATACCTGAATTTAGACTTTATTCTCGAATATGCCTGAATTTCTACCATACCTGTTGTATTTCACAGGCTCTGGGCTATTTTTTACATGCACTCTCTGTCATGTTTAAATGAGCATGTTTACCATGTATTAACAGAAAAGTAGATGTATTTAACAAGTTCTAATAAGCATGTCTACCATGCTTTTAAAAACATTTTGATGGATGCTCAATTTTATTATGTAGGGAACTATGTATGGCTAAAGCATCTCTTATTTATCTTTCCTATCTTCTATGTAATTGTATCATAAGCCACACTCATCCTTTATTGGCAAAACTGTTAACTGTTAATTGCTTATACAGTTCATGTTCAACATATTGGGATCCATTAAAAAGACTGTTGAAAAGCCATATATGGGATAAATCTTTGTTTCTATTGATAAGATTCATTCTCTTAGACAAATAAATGGATGACTTGGACACAACTCAGTCATTTCCCTAAATATCGATGATGATGGCACCACCACTTTTCCCGAAGAGCGTGGTGCCGATGCTATGGTGCAAGACACTAATAACTTGGAAGGGGGTCAAGATTTAGGGGCAGCACTCGCAAGAGGAGTGGATATTGAGCCCAAAATTGGCATGTCATTCGATAAAGAAGATGATGCCAAAGCCTATTACTTAAATTACACCAAAGTTGTGGGGTTTGGCATACGAATGGGAGGTACATTTCGAAAAGACGGTGGAAGAGCTGGACTAGTGATTTGAGTGTTCGAGACAAGGAATCTGTCATCAAACATATGAGGGCAATCAAAACCCTCGTCCCCAGACAAGGTGTGGGTGTTTGCAAAATTGCGACTTTTGGAAAATGAGAAACAAAAATGGGTAGTTGTTAAGTTTGTGAAAGAGCATAACTATGCTCCCACATCACCACCTAAAACTAGGTTCATGCGCTCCCACTGGAAGACTTCCGACTCTGTAAAAAAAATTATCAACACCATGGGGTCTTCATTGATTAAGTCAAGGGTTATAATGGATTACCTTAATGAGGAAACTGAAGGAGCGAAAAATGTGTCCGTCATTGCCAAAGACCTTGAGAACCACCTACATAGGGAAAGGAGGAAACCGAAAGGAAGTGGTGGACATATGGTTTTGAAATGGTTGCATTCCAAGCAATATTTGAATCCTACGTTTTTTTAGAGCACGACTTGATGAATTAGGAATGCTTATTGATATTGTTTGGGTAGAATCTAGTGCGATAATGTATAACAATTTTTTCATAACGTGGTAACATTTGATACCACATCAAATAAACGCATTTAGCATGCCTTTTGGGCCGATCTTTGGAGTCAATCATCATAATAATACTATTTTCTTTGGATGTGCCCTTATTTTTTATGAGACAACTGAATCAGTTATTTGGCTATTTGAAAGTTGGTTGGAGGTAATGGGAGGAAAACAACCACGTACAATTATAACTGCTCAAGATTTAGCTATATCTACCGCAGTTAATAAGGTCTTCCCTGAGAGTAATCATCACTTTTGTAATTGGCACATAATGGGAAAGTTTAAAACAAAGTTGGGTCATGCTATGCGCGTGCATGCACACTTTTGAGACGGATTGAAGAAGTGTTTTTGTGCATCCACGATTGAGTTGTTTGAGTCCAAATGGAAAGAAATGATTGAGAAATATGCTCTAGAAGAAGAAACTTGGCTGCAGTAGTTATATGGTTGTCGCAATCAATGGGCTGATGGGTATATTTGTGATAGGTTCACTGTAGAGGTGACGACAACATAACACAATGAGAGATTCAATTGTGAGATCAAAGCTTATGTGTCTTCGGGTAAGAGTCTTCATACATTTTTGAATGCCATTTAGAAGTTGCAAGATAAAAGCGTTTTTCAAAGAAATAGAACGACTCTAAAAATCTAACATCCACTCCTGCTTTGAAGACACCCTTTAAAATAGAGCGTCATGCATCAAGGGTCAACACTCAAAAGGTTTTTGGAAAATTTTAAAAGGAACTAGTTGAATCTGTAGGTTGTAGGATTGAATTCATTGAGGACAATGAGATCTATGTCAAATATGATTTAGAAGACTCTCAAGGGGCGTCCATCCATCACATTGTTACATTCAATGGGCCAGAAAGCAAAGCCACTTGCACATGTCACATGTATGAGCGTGTTGGCATCCCTTGTTCGCATATACTTCTGATTTTCAGTGTGAAGAATGTGGTGGAGATCCCATTGCATTACATATTGAGGCGTCGGACAATGGATGCGAAGAAGGGCATAATGGGTGATACACATGGTATTGGGAATTCAAATCCATCTACTTTTCCTCGATTCATTAGGCGGCATGAATTCTCTGAGTTTGTATGGACAATTGAAGAGCCTTAAATAGAAAAATGATGAGGTATTTGAGAAACTAAAGTCAAGTTGGTCGTCAATAGCCAATGAATACAATGTCGCACTTGTCAATTGTCAGCCAAATGATGGTAATCAGCCAGATGATGAACCCCCACTTGACACTAGTTACTCAGATGATGAGCCTCCTCTTGTGACTGTATAGAATCCACCACGTGTTCAAGCAAAGGGTCGGTCAAGAACAAAAAAGGATGGAACTTGGCTAGTGAGAAAGAGATGCCAAGTACAAGGAAATGTGTGGTATGCAGTCAGAGTGGTCATGACAAGCGTAATTGCCCGGTGATGAGATGAAACTTAGCTTGTAAGTGCATGTGATTACTTTCTTCAGTTTATACTCTATTGTTACTTTATGTATTAGTCTATTCATTTCAAAAGAAGTATTTTGTAATAAGCTAACAAATCATATGCATCTTGTAGGGCTGGTGGGAATGTTCCAAGTGGTGTGATGGGTTCTCAAAATAGCAAGGCAGCAAATGGAAGTGATGCGAGAAGGTTGGTTCTGAAGCATCTTGCAAATTCATGTTAACTCTACGTAATAATATATGTTTTGTGAGATTTATGATAATTCTTAGAGAAGTTGTTGATTTTGTTGATTTTTCCTTCTTGTTGCAGGTCGAAAAGGAAGGGCTTTTGAAGGGCTAAAGATTTAGGATGAATTTCTTGATAATTGAATACTATGGATCAATTGCTTGCTGCAATTTTTAGCCAATTGTAGCTGGTATCCCCTCTTTTTTTTTTTATGTATGGCATTTCCTAGGTCTCTTGTGGGTCTTTGTACAGGGCGCCCATTTATAGGGTTGGCTATTTTTGTAGAGCATTGCTTGGGCCTTATGTGAGATGACATGATATGATCAAGTTTTTGTCACTGAGTCGCAAATGATTGCTTATATTGGAAATAGTTCAAAATCCTTGTTTTGATCAAGTTCTGTTTATTTATTATTGTTGTCATTAATATTCATCATGTTTTGGAATGCATATGGTAATGGCAGTAACATTGAAATGGTTCTCTTTTGCGAATCTAGTCGCTATGGCAGCTGTGCTCTCTCTCTCTCGTGCATATACGCATGCACGCTCTCTCTCTCTCTCTCTATGGGACATATGGTTTAAAATGATTCAATTTAATTTTGAAGGATTTGGCTAGAGTATCTGCCATCCAACTTTCAAAATGAGATAGTTGAGTAAGAAATTTATGTTGTTTTAACTTTTCACGTATACAATCTTGAAAACTCTAATTCAAAACGATATATAGTTGAGTAAGAAATTTATGTTGTTTTAACTTTTCACGTATACAATCTTGAAAACTCTAATACCAGACTCAAGGAGTTTTTTTAATATTGTGAAGAGTCTTTTCTAAATCTTAGGTTTGTCAGGGATCAACAAAGCCATTAGGTGCAAAGCTTGTACGATAGTGGCTCTTCTTATCCCTTTCAAGCCTGACATCTGGGAAAGGTTCATCACATTCTTAAATAAATTCCTTGAATTTGGTTTCAGAATTTCAAAGCTGTCTACATCAAAAGGTTAAAATAACACACCTTCTGTCTTATTCAATTATATATCAGTCTGAAAGTTGGATGACACATATTCTAGCCAAATCTTTGAAAATTAAATTGAACCATTTTAAACCATATAAATGAGAGAGAGAGAGAGCGTTCACACGCATATGAATGAGCCATAAAGGCCCCACACACCTCTATCTATATTTTAGATGAGGTACAAATTCCAAAATAGCCTTAGCCAACAACAAAATTGAGTAAATAGTTCTAATTTAAATACAAAATTTGTAATAACATTTTTACCCCTGATAAAACAAAACATTTTATAAACACTCTTAACTATTGTTCTAAACAATTCTTAAAATCTTCAAAGCATAAAAAAAAAGACACCTAGAATCCCTAATAAACTTACAAAACCAAAAAAAATAAGGGTGCAGTTTGTATAGAGCCTAGGCTCTAAACAATCAAATTAGAGCCTACCTTCAAATAGTATCGTGAAATGTGGTTTCAATATTGGAAATCTTTGTGATAGCTTTAAAATATATTTTTATATTTATTTATAAATTTTAAAGCTTCAAAAGTGGTGTAGATCAACATATCTATACAAACTTGAAAATCTTGAAAATTGATGGTCCAAAAATATATCACAAAATACACTATTTTGAAAACTTGTGATCAATTTTTTTCTCATGTCCATGCATCTTGATGTCGAGATGATCAATTTGAAGATATTTGAGCATCAAAACAACCTCTTCTAGTGAAATTTTTGAGGTAGGCTCAAATTTGATTGTTTAGAGCCTCAGCTCTATATAAACTTTTCCCTAAAAATAAACCCCTATGTCAAAATTAAAAAATACACATACTTAGGAATATAGGAATTAAACAAAAATCTAAAATAAAGATAATTTTGATCTGCATCAATCTTCCTTAGTTGGAGAAACTCATCCTCGAGTATTGAAATAAGCTAAAATGAACTCCTTCTTAAGCCCACGATTTTGGGGAGGAAACCATGGTTCACTTAAATTGGTGCTTGTGCTTTGCTTAGATTTAGTGCTGCCTCAAACCAAGTTTACCTATAACAATGCTCGCAGTAGATCAATGGGTACGAGTTCAGAAAAATTTGGAAGATCACCGTTTCAAGTAGTCTAAAGTGAAAGAATAGGTGATGGTATACCTTAGGGAGGAAAGGCATCCAGCAGGCAATTCAAGTTAAATGACCGCAAGGCAGGATCGTTCAAGATATTGAAGAAGATGGGCAGCAACACTTACAAGATCGCTTTTCCTTCACAATGGAGATTTCAGATATCTTCAACATTGTTGATTTGTTTGAGTATCTTGGGCCAAAGATAGATCAAAGTGAATATTCTAACTCAAGAGTACATTCTCCTCAACCCGGGGAGAATGAAGACGCGCAAAGTGCATCAAGTAAATAGAGTGACGAGCATCTTCCACGAGAGTAGCAGATTCCTCCTTACTCTTGTGTATATTTGGAGGATGTGAACCCTAGGACTGCTACCAAGAAGAACAAAGGCAACAAGATTGCTTAGATTGATTTTCTCGTTATTTTAAGCTTATTTTTCTGTTAATTTTAATTGCTTTTATTTTCTAGATCAGTTGCGAACTTTGCATTTTATTTACCTTCAGTCATTTAAAAGTCACTTTGGGTCATTTTGTTCTTTGAATGGACACTTAATGTCTTTGAACATTAAATGATAATATTTAAAAGGTGTATGGGGCTATGGGCAGCCATTCACGTGACTTTGCAGACTGAAAAAGAGAGAGAAAGCTTAGGCTCTTGGGAGCCCTAGTTAGGTTTGGAGAAGAAATCCTAGGTTTCTATTTGTTGCTTATGCTTGACTTAAAAGTTGCTGCTTTTACTGTTCTCTATCAATTTTCCTATTTCCGAATGGAATAGCATAGCTCACATATCTTTGTTGAAAGTAAGGATCCTAACAAGCAGTTGGAATTTCAACAATGTGTCCGTATTGGAACTTGCAATTCTCATGTTAAAAACTCGCATCCCAACATGCACCTGCTAGGATATCTCAATACATCCTAGTGTTCATTTTCATCAATCTTATACAACTGATATTCATTTTCATGAATCTAACACACTAGAGTTGTCATGAATCTTACTTTGGAAACTAGTGTTTATTTTCATGAATCCTGCTATGTAACTGGGCAAAACAAACATCAATCAAAGCCGCTGATAAGGAATCTAATCTAAAAAAACCAGAGTTGAAACTGCACAAGATATGTCCTTTCTGATAAGTTACTGAGATAAATATTGGCAATGCTAGGGGAATACCGAACCTCTCAAAATCTTGATGCCAGAGATTTCCAAGACTAATTGCAACAGGCTTCTTTCACAATCTGGGAAGTGTAGTAGCTGACTATTTTCTGGTCTAACTCATAGTAGTAATACATCTTCTCCAAAGGTTTCATATCCAAATCAATGAAAGATGACTGCATATCACACAGATCAAAAGAAGATTGTCACACAAGATAAACGTTGACCCTCTCTCTCTCTCAGGCATGCACACCATATCCCATAATGAACAAGGTGAAAATAAACTAGGCAAATAAGGATATATTTCAATTTCATTAATCCATGTGCAAACTAGAAAGGTCCAAAACAGTTTTATAGTCTTTGAGTTGTATTTTTAAGGCCCACAACAGTTTTGCACCAATTAAATGGTAATTTTAAGCTTGCTACTTAAATAACCATCATTATATAATATTCTAAAAATTAGTTAAGTAATCCTGGGGTGTCTCGATCATTCATCTGCAGGAAAAGAGAAGAGGAAAACAAAACTGGCAAATAAAAAATTTCTTTTTAAAGTTAAACTTGCACTATAAAATTACATTACAGAAATTGAATGCCCTTGTCTTATTTGCCATAAAACACACACATTGAAATTCTCTCTCTCTCTCTCTCTCTCTCTCTCTCTCTCTCACACACACACACACACACACACACACACAAAAGATAGTGAAGGTCCAACTACTGTTCCCTGATTCCTAAGGTACAAAGATCTAAAATAGTAATTATTGGAATATAATGTAACCATGGCTCTGGTTTTCATGATGATTACCATTTGGTGCATTTTGCACAAGGCGCTGACCATTATTTTGGATTGATGTAGTTAATGCCTAGAGACTTGACATAAAAAGGGTATAAATCTTCCCCTGATTCATCAATTTCAGGCAGAAATACATCAATCTGCCACTTGAAAAAGTTATATACGGACATAACAAGCACAGGATAGGTCTACTAGAGTTGGACTTTGCCTGGCAGGAAAAGAACACTCCTGGTATATCAGGAAGCTACTAAAGTGTGGTCACTTAACTAACTGTTATGCTGGTTGAGAGAGAGAGAGAGAGAGAGAGAATATATTCTCAATCCATGGTTTCTTAACAACACATTTCAAACTGATAGTATCTTTTAAACTTTTTCTTAGAGAAAGAAAGCAGAGGATGTACCTTGTAATAGAACTTCTGACTTGTAGAATGCAACAAAGCATATCTATCGTGTGTTTCTAATTCTCCAACACCAACAGGCCAGAAGCACACCATCAGGCTACAATCCTTTGCAGTCGCAGCAACCAAATAATTTTTCATAATATCCATGCTTTCTTTTAATGAAAGAGAATGCAATACTTGATAGATTTGTGATAATTCTTCTCCCAAATCCTTGCACACACGACAAGGCTGAGAAATAACATTAAAGTAAGCATGGATCACCCCTTCTATATCAAGCTTATCAAGCTTCTGAACTTCTAGAAGTCGAACCAGAGCTCCTGATTTGAAAAGGATTTCAGCCAAAAGTTCATGACAACAATTTATGCGCTGGCCTGGGCCTGCATGGATCAGACCCATGAGAGCATTATCTAACCTTCCTAAAGCTTCTTGTGCATCAGATTCAGAACCTCCAAAATACCCTCCAAGGCCACCAAAAACCAAAGTGCCATTTAGGAAGATGCGAAAATTGTTTTGAGGTGTCAAAAATAATGCCTCTATAGCCTGTCTTATTCTTCCTCGGGACCCTGAAAACAAATCGCAGGGATCGTACTTGCTCGTATTTGATATCTGAGAGAATCAACGCGTGGAAAAGACATTTAGACATCAATGATAATAGATGAAAACTATAGAAAGACCTCGACCATTAACTGAATAGACCTCTCTCTCTCTCTCTCTCTCTCTTTAAGAATCAACATGTTGATGATAGTAAGTTTTCTGTTAGACATTTTTGGTTAAAGATACTGTGATCATTATATAATCTTATATATATGTGTGTATACACACACACACACACACACATATATATATATATATGGAAAAGTCTTAAAAACGCCTATAGGTGAATTGCTACAGTGTTTTGCCCTGGCAGTTTATTGAACGGAGCCGCAATGGACGACACGGGTCCGTGGCGGTTCCACGTGTTTTTTGACCACTATGGACTTGCTATGTCTGTGACGGTTTGACTGCCACAGACATGCTAGGTCCGTGGTAGTCTTTAATCCTCGCCGTCCGAAAAAATCAGACGTCACCTAGCTTATGGGTGAAAACACTGTTGATTATTGCCCATAGGCATTGTGGAGTCTCTTCCTCTCATGGAGTATTTACATAACCAACTCAACATTCATTGGACACTTATTACCCTTGTTTTATCATACAAAAACTTTTCGATCAAGGATATTTTTTATCATTAAAAGTGGTACAACCGATATTTCTATCAGAAACTAGTCACATTCCATTAGTTGTAAGAAAGCAATTAATGTTCCATGTTGGTGATGTCACACTCCATATGGATGATTTCATTCTCCACCATAGTTAATACATGTTTTTTTATTTCTACTAAACATATCTACTTTACCCTAGATTAATTACCTAAACTACCCCTAAGCAAAAAAGCCCATACAATGTGGAGTAAGGCTATCAAGTATCCAAAAATGTTGAGTAGGAAAAAGAAATACTCTAGGGTGAGGTTTGTACTAGGTGCCAAACTTAAACAATCAAAATACGAATGCACCACCAAAATATACCGAAAGGTGCGGTTTGGATGCCAGAAAACCTTACAATGGCATCAAAATCTAGTTTAACCCTTAATTATAAAATTTAAAGTTCCAAAAATGGTTCAGATTGAGAATATCTATAAACGCTTAAATATCTTGAAAATGAACAGTCCAGATAATATATAAAAACAACAAGATGCATTATTTTCAGGACTTTAAATTCCTTTTTTTTTTTTCCCTGTATCCATACATATTGAGGTCGAGATAATCAATTGGAAGGTTTTCTAGCATCAAAAAGACTTTTTCTGGTGGATGCTTGGCAATTAGCTATAGACTACTAATGCTTGGTAATCTGTTATAAAAATGTCTAGAATATTTTCTGTCATAAAGGTTTCAAGAAATGTAGTTATTGTGCATTGAGTTAACCCTTTCAAATGATAGCCGTTGGTCAACATAGGGGAGATGATCATTTTAAAGATATAAGATAAATCACTAATAAATAGCACCATGTGAGTATTATCTATCTACCTACCTCTTTACACATGTATATTTATGTCCCATTCACGTACAAAAGAAAAAAATCCGAGTCTTCTTGTTAAATGAGTAACAAATTGGAAAGGAATATAGGGTTTTTAAACATGGCTCTTTTATTATTCTCATAACCATAAAACAAATCCTGGCAGATATCTTGATCACAAAGTCCTAGGCATATAAAGAGCATGCCTGTGATAATGCCAAATAGATTGGGCAAACAATTAAGTTTAAAAACCAGGAACATTTAGCAAGCCCCTAGAAGGAGAGTATAGGCAAACCAAAGGAGGGAAAGAGAAAAATAATTCCACTACCTCTCCCTGAAGAACTTTCAAGGCTTGGTGCATCTTGAACCTAGTAGTATTGTTCTTCATAAAATTTTCTTTCCCAATAAATCTTGAACAAGGTAGAAAACCGCATTTTGGCTGCTTTCCCATACAACAATCCCAAGGAAATTACCATAAAGAAAAATATGTTAGCACATAAAAGCAATAATTAGGTCAAATAAGAAAACATGGATGTGTGAAAATGAGTGTTAGTACCTTTATTTCTACAGCAATGCATGGAGCCTGTTTTATATCACCTGAATAGAAAAAACCAGCTACATGGTTCATTTTTCCTTGCTATGATCTCAAATCAATTTTCAGAAAATTAAACCATAGATATGCTTAATGAAAATATTTCAAAACATGATATTGATGATAATATTTTATTTACACAGTGCGGACAATTAAAAAAAAGGTGTAACTAAGAACCTTCGCATAATCTTTATATAATATTGGCTTTTTCTTAATAGATCATGACATAAACGCTTCCAGAAATGAGCAAAAAGTTTCTATTAGTGGTGGATTTATCTGGCCTTTCAAGGCCTTGACATCATGGCTCTTTATGTGATTTTTATTACAGTGGGAGTATATGACTCACAGGTTTTGTAGATTGGGACCCAAAAATGGTGTATTTAGTCAGAAAACTCCGTACCATGGGGCATGGGGCTAGAAGCCCGGCCTTTTCTGTTAGGGTTGAGGTAATCCCTTAGTTGACGTCAGTGTTTGACTCCATAACCAGGGCATTGGTGGATCATTGTGGATTATTGTATATACTATGGAACTTTGTGGATTATTGAGGAATACCGTACATGCTCCCATCTACTACTGTGTTAGCCAACATATAGCATGTACATATAACAGACATATAGGGGAAGCCACCCTTTCTAGGTGATCTACTAGAAAGGGGTCATGCACATGTGCTTGAGATAGAACCCTCGCATCTGTAATGCTGGAGTACTTGTCCATGGGGGTGCACCTGCAATCCACTTCAATCCTTGTATCCATCCACCTATTGATTAACTTTCTTTGATGGACCAAGTATGCCCTTGCTTAGGACTGTGGGTCATGGGTCCCATTGGGCCAATTCAAAAAAATATTTAAGATTCCAAATAAGCCAAGCGGAGCTCTCGACATACTCAATTTTCAATTCATAAAGATACCTAATTTCCTTCCAAAGATTATTACCAAACAAATTCAAAATGATGAAACTAACTCAACAAATGATTTTTGGTATTTTTTGGGAATTTTATACACTTTTTTGTATCCTGGAAAAGGCTAGAAATATTGTTTGAAAAGATGATTATTAAGGCCACATGTGTGACCTAGGACATATGTGGGGCCCAATGGCCAATGGGCCCCACATGAACTCTGAAGAGGCCACACATGGGCTTCAACTAAACCCCACATGTGGGTAATGTTAGGGTGGCAGCATCCACATCGTGGTGCGTGTAGATATGAGGTTATTTGGTTGGGCCATATGAGCCCACTTATTTGAGATAAGTTTGATTTGTGATGTTTTAGGTGATTGAAATACATGGGGAAATTGGATTAGCACATGGGTGGGTCTTCTAGAAGGGACATAGGGTTTGATATTATGACTGAAAACCTAGAGCAAGTGGGTTAAACAGCCCACTTGTCACACTTTCATTCAGCCCTATGTCCACTCATCGTTTAGAATGGGCACAGGTTTGATATTTATGATCAAAACTTTAGGGCTAAGGGGACGTTTAAAAATCCACTTGCATGACATTTGTTATACTCTCATTCATCCAATGTGCACCCTATGTGCAAGGTTGATCTAGAGATAGGAGCCTCAATTTGTCTCTCTAGTTTTCTATGAAATGAGAGAACAAAATTGAAAACTAAGAGGCACGCCCTTCACTACACTTAATCTCTCTTGATCAATAAAACTTACTACACTTAACCTATGTGCCAGGTTAATCTAGAGATAGGAGCCTCAATTTGTCTCTCTAGTTTTCTATGAAATGCGAGAAGAAAATTGAAAACTAAGAGGCATGCCCTTCACTACACTTGATCTCTCCTGATCAATAAAACTCACCATGAGCAAAATGGATGTGGAAATTTTGAAATTTGGTTTTGAATATGAAAGTTGAATGAAAATTGAAATTGAAATGGGAGGGAATCTTGAATTGAAATTTTAATTCGAGAATAATGGTATTCAATCTCATCCCAAGATATATGATAGCTAGTTTGGAGATGAATGGGTAAGACCAAGTCATCTCTCACCCCATAGATCTCCTAGATCAATGATCAAAATTAATCCTCCAAAGAATCTTCTACACACTCCTTCATCAAGCTTATAAATGCAGGTGGCCTCAACGCAATTTTCTCACTAAACCCAATTGCAAAGATGGGTTGCCCATTTAGAGAGAGAAAGAGAGGCCTAGAGTGGCACACCCCAAATAGAGAAAGAAGCACATAATGGCAAAGAAATGAGAGTCGCATACCCCTGAGAGACTAAAAACCTAGCGCCCATATGCTCAACTCCTTTGCCTATCTCTTCACCCATGCATCCATGTTTCCACCATGTCAAGGCATCATCAAAGGAGAAATTCACTCTCTATGCTGCTGTACTTGACCGAGATCTCCTCATACAGCATGGTAATTCATCTCTCCCAAGGCCTAAAGTTTATTTTCTATAAGCCATTGCCATGTCCATGAGCATGCACACCCATAGCCTTGAATTAAGCTCTTTTTTGACCCAAGATTTTCCACATCACTCCTCCTTTTGAAAACTCCTTTTCATTCATGAAATCAGCCCCCTTTTTGAGTGTGAAATATTTTAGAATGGTTTTCTCTTTGAATGCTTCCCATATTGGAGAATTATAAGGATCCGATCATAACTCTTATCGGTTGTGGACATCCAGTGTGGGGTGCTGTTAAGTCACGAGGACGTGATATGGGCATTTTCTTTGTATCTTTGGCTTCCCCATGGTTGATGTCTTAGCTGCACACATTTGTCAAGTGTCTGTAAAAGTGGATGGTTTCTTTGAAGTAATATGAGTTGCAGTTGCAAGCTGTTTGATGTAATTTTCAATGAAGCATAGTGCTGAATTTTTGGAAGTGTCAATTGTACTATATTTTTGCATCCCTCACTACTTCAAATGAAGGAAATGTGTAGGGGGCTATGTTGAGGTGCTTTTGGTTCTAATTTTGAGTTGCAAGTCAGCTTGTAAAGTCAATGTCTCCATCCTATATTCATGTAATTTGGATTGAACAGTGTATGTAAAGCGGTATAACAGTCCCTTGTATTGAAAATTTTAGTGTATGCAACAAGGAACTGGTCTCTACAGCTACCAATTAGTAGGATTTTCTCTCCATATTTGATCAGTTACTATTTCTGAGGAAAAGACAAAAGTGTAAGGTGCAACAAAAACAATGTCAGCTATTAGAAGAAACACATTACAACAAAATTGTAAAGAATACATCATGACAAGAAAATCAAAATGCCCACTTAAAAAAAAACTACAAAGCTGGAATAGACTGCCAAATGTTCTACTTTACTACATGTGCATAGCATCCTAATATGTACCGATAGGCAAGGGAATTACCATCATTTTGAGTTTAGGGTCGTTTTCTCCATTGTCTCATATGTGAGTTTCATATAAGCCATTTTTTTTTTCAAATTTGGTGAAATCATTTCCATTTACATGGAATCCGAGCCTTCAGAAAGATCTACAAATAATTTTATAAAGTTCATGTTAGATCAATTGACAATTATTGATGCAAATCACATCCAAGAATTTTTGGCTCCTGGGACATATTTGTCATTTTCAAGTTCTTTTTAGTCACTGGGATGAGAATGTCATTTTCAGAATTCTTTTTTTTTTGTCATTGGGATGAATTTTTTATTGTCTCTTTGTTTCCAGCCCCAGTATAAGTTTGTCATTTTCTTTTTGTTAGTTGGTCATTTTGGGATTAATTAGAGAATTTGGTGTAGAGACAAGTAATTTATTGTGTGAAAGATTTCACGAATCCAAAAGTCAAAATTGTGTAGTTTCAATTCATAGGAATTTGGCATCATGCATGGGAACTTGGGTGCAAGAATGTTGCATGCAAGTATGGGAAATAGGGCACAGGGGTAGTCTAGTTATTTTCACACTTTACTAAGGGTAATTTGGTCATTTTCTAGTTCCAGCAAACTGGTTTTTTGAAATGGAACGCTGTTGTAACAGTTAGCTAGTTTTTGCTGATAATTTCATAATGAGATATTCTTCCTCCTCCTTGGTGTAGAGAGCGAGTTCCCATCCTTGTGTACCTCGAGTAACTTGAGATGAAAAGGTCATCCTTGTGTACTGCAAGTACCTTGAGTGGCAAGAGTTAGGGCTGAAGATCCCTTCCTCTTCATTCCCTTGATTGAGATTAAGGAAGCCAGTTCATTGTTGCACAATCGGCCTCGGATCTATACTTTCCGGTGAGGTTCTTGCACCATTTGGTATCTGAGCCACGGTTGGTGAACTTCATCAATTGTGAGGCCTGGTGGTGCTAGGGTCGTGGTCAAAGAAATGTAGGTCGTGAGCTTGATATGTTGGCATAGACTATGCACAATCTAAAGGAGTAAGTGGTTGTACTTTTGCAATATAGAAATCAGTGGAATGCAAAAAGATCCCCAGCCATAGATTCCATCCATGAGGGCTTGTTTGGAGAGCACAGTGAGTCGATGATGGAGACAACTTCACTTAGCTTAGAATCAGGGACTTATTCAAGCGAAAGGATGGCTTCACAAAGGTATCAATGAAGTCATGAATCGGATGGTGACTCAAGTGTCCAAACTGGGAGGAGTAGGCGAGCACGACGCAATAAGGACAACTAAGGTATTAAAGTTAACTTACTTGAATTTTCTGGTTGTTTATCACCGGAAGAGTTTTTAGATTAGTCGAGCATGGTAGAAAGATTCTTTCAATGGAAGGATCTGTAGAAATCAAAGAAAGTAAAATTAGTTGCAATTAAGCTTCGGGGACTACCATCCGTGTGGTAGGATCAAGTTTAGGAAGCAAGATTGCGAAGGGGAAAAGATAAAATTTGGACTTGAGCAAAAATAAGCGCAAAGCTGCGTGAGCAATTTCTTCCTCCAAACTTTGCACAAACCGTGTATAAATAATTTCATCAAGTGCATCAAGAATTGAAGTCAGTTCGTAATACAGAAGACTTCCATCGCCTGTCCTTGCTGATGGGGTTGGATGGGATGGAGGACCAACCGGTGGCAAGGTATATCTCGGGTTTGCAGTTTCAAATC